GGGAGTATTGATTTTGCTATTGTTTTGCTCACGAAGAGTATTCAACAAGAACCCCAAGAATTCGGAACAATCCTCTTGTTGTCCTTACGAGTATCTAGTGGACTTCAAAGACTCTAGGAAATCGGTTGGTGGGAAAGATGATGCATTCTTACGAAACTGCAGCTGCATGAACAGGTGTTTGAGTTTGGTGAATAAGTAGGAAACTCTCGTTCTCGTTCATCGTTATAACCTCGTTCTTGAAATTTTTCGTCATGAACAACACTTGTTAAATGCTTTTCGTGTAGGGAGTGTTTTCTAAATCATCCTATCCAATTTTCTCCGCAAGATTTTTGGGACTACTCTCTACTGATTAATAAGGAAGAATATGTTTCACAGAATATGTCGCAGAACTATTTCTTGAGCTGCAATCGATCCTTCCAAGTGATAAAGTGTTTCGTAGAGGAATCGATTCGGCTCTTGTTCCATGAAGTATTTTAGCAAGTTGACTTTTTTAAATAAAAATATTGGGGGACACTTTTTGACTGGCAACCTGTCATAAATGTATTCCCATATTCATAAATGTATGTAAAAATTTTAGTTTGATTAACTAAGTAGTGATTTTGCGGCGGGATCCTGTACTACAAGAATTTGGAGAGTTTCGGAAACACTAATCTTTCCGAAAAATGGTCCGTCATCCAAGCACCTGAAGCATTAAACATAATGAACTGCCTCAAAATAAATCTAATTCCAAACAGCCACTATAAAATTTAAACATTAATTTTCACTCGGCTCGCAAGAAATAATAAAAGTGGCCATGAAGCAGTTAAAGATAAAAGCAGGCTATGTAAGGCGGGAACAGAGCGCTCCTCGCAATATCAAACCGAAAAACAATTACATATCAATTCCGCGCTCTCTTCGGAACAATAAAAGAATGGAGCAATTCTTTCGCCGCAAGGAGCCATAAAAAACCGTGAATATATTTTGTGTAATTGCGCCCCATAAGTCGACTTTATTATTCTTAGTTCGGAATGTTGCCGCCGTGGCGCTGGCATGTTAGTGCTCTCCGGGGAAAGTGGAGGCACGTGAGCAGCTCATCTCAACGACTGTTTCTCCTCCCCGTTCCGTTTTATCTTCTCTGATGGGTGTGCTACGTGCAACAATATCATTTGCAGGTTTTCTACTGGCTTCAATTGATGGCGTAGGAAAGGAATTGAGTTACCAAAAACAACTTGGTCTGTTTCATCTTCTCAACTGATTATTATATAATCCATCTCGGAGAAGATTCAAGTCCAGTGATGATCTTAGTATTAGGTTATTTCAAAAGTGTTGTCCGTTTTATTATCACGTTTCGTGGTATATACTGATCGATGAAGAATTTTGTACTTAATGAAGAAAAGAGAAATGAAACTTTCTATGTTTTTCACCACTTTTATTTGTAACTAACGTTACTGCAGTTTCGTCCTATACGGACATTTTTAAACTTATACAATAAATTAACAATGGTTCATTACATTCGCCATTATATACTACTACCCCTGTAGGTACTAATAGAAATAGAGGTATAGTATTTCCAATACCAATTGGAATAGCACAGAGAAGGAATTCCCGCCTCGTCATAGGCGTCGGCGTATTATTTTTCAATGATAGTTTTTCAGTTATTTTTACAATCATAGCAATTGATCACCCCATGAAAAAGTTATCTCAACTGAATTTTTCCATAATGGGTGATTATGANTGTTTATTAAATGATGATTATCCTAATTGATTTTTCGGTAATTAACTAGTAGAACCACTACCTGCAAATTAATTTGTCCGCTTTTTAATCTATTGTTGACAAATTTCCTAATTTCCTGAAGACAAACACATTAATATCGATATTTCTAGAAATATTCCTTTTTATCTGCCATATGACAATTCCAACAACTACATTACAGCGTAGGGGAAACCCGGGCAACGTGAATACCTTAGCCTCTCCTTGATCATTGTCGTTTAGTTATAACTGGGGAAATTGAAACGAATATTTATATTGAGTCTTCATTTAATGGACTTACAAAATGTAATAACATTTGTTCTTAATAATAGCTAAACTATTAGATATAAGGCCAGTTTTCAACAATGGCATGAATATCCACTTTGCCCAGCACCCCGGGTAAAGTGGATTCAGTACTAGGGCAAAGCGAACAACATTATTCGTCATGGAACTCAACATTAAAATTGAAAAAAAACCATCAAAAATTGAAGAAACATATAAAAAAATTTTTTTCTACAATGCTAGTTATTGTAGTTATTACAAACAAAGAAATTGAACTCATGAATAAATAAACATTGTAAATTAAAGGAACATATTGAAAAAACATTGTTCTGAGATTCGTGAGATTCATTCGAAGATGACGCTTGAATGATGGACTCGGGCAAATTAGTTCTTTCCGTTGGGGGCAAAAGCTTCTGACTGAGTATTCAAATTGAATCTGCCTGCAAGTATATCGGCTGGTGCAAAATGATGATCACCAAAAGCATGCTTGTTTAAAGACCAAACTCCAAGACGTTCAAATGCATGCACTGTGTTGATGGCCACCGCCGTTTTGAGAAAAACTGGTGCTAGCAGCTGGTTAATGATGCGGCCGGGGTGAGATTTTTTAAACTAATGATCTCCCTTTCAAAATACGTTTTCCGTGGGCTATATAGCAACATCCATCGGTTGCATTTTGTGGTTAGTATGGGTTGCTAAGGATAATATCACCACATTTTTTTTGGTTACGTACCCAAGTACAGGATAATATTTGTCACTTTCGTGATTGTCTAGTATTAATAGGAACTTTTTGTCTGATGTTAGCATCACGTGCTCTACGAAAAAGTGCATCCAATTCAAGAAGACTTCGCCTGATGTCCAACCATTGGGAGTAAACGTTCCTTGAATCCCTGGCGGACTTCCATCAAGAAGTCTTGGCTGCATCTTCTTTATATCAAAAATTAAAAAAGGTGGAAGAAATTTAAGCTACCAGCTGCATTACAAAAGCCAATGACAGTTGTGAATATAGGACGGAGTCGACCTGACTGTGGAGAAAATTTCACATTCGACATGTCGATATAATGTAGCCTAAGCTAGCCCGTATTTTTTTATTGTCCTTTTAATCGATTCTCCAGCCAAACACAAATTTATGGCCTGCATATTTTTTTTTACTCTAAGATCCTTGTGTTGTGTTTATACACCATCTGTAATGGAAAAAAACGCTATAAAGTACATAATTCCATTAAACTGTATAACTTGTCATGACCGGGCAAAGTGAATACGGTATCCACTTTGCCCAATCCGCTTTGCCCTTCGAGTACATTTTTGAGGTTATCCTAAATTACTAAAAAACTGAAGCATCTAAACTCGTTGTCTACGGATAAATGAAAACTACATAATCATGCATCAAATCCTGCTCATAATATTATAGTCGCAAATAATATTATAGTTATAAACGAAACACTTACATCTGTAAATTAATATTATTTTTCCAAAAACACACTCTGTGTGGTCACTGGGGCAGAGCGATGCGAACTCGTCCCGACGTGTTTACCGCGCACGACAACTAGCGACTGTAGCTATGACAACACGGTGGCCGGACAACGAACTGTTTGGGAGTTATAGGCAATATTCGCTTTGCCCGGGGTATTTACTTTACCCGGGTTTCCCCTAATCCTACTAGTGCAAAAAATACAATATCCGTCAGCAATGACACTTGTCAAATTCGTAAATTGACACCTTTCAAAACAAATAGAAAAGTGTCAATGCATGTACCTCATTAGTTGTTATGTACAAAAGCACAGAAGGCCATATTAATTTTTTAGTGTTTTTTTCTTCCAATTCTCAAGTAGGAAAGTCCAAGTTTTAACTCGAAATAGTGTAAACTGTCATAAAAATCAGGTAAGGTTAGGAGGTTAGAATGGGTTATATTAAGAAAAAGTATCAATTCTGAGTTACAAGCAGGAATTTCAAAATTATGTTTTAGAAAGTGAGAGTAGGATTAAAATATCAATTGAAGAATTTGAAAAGTATTAGTTGATTTACTTAAAGTGTCACTTTACAATTTTTTGTTTTTTTTTCCTACATAGCATCTTTATGCCGTCGAACCAACTCAATCCCCTTTTCATTACAAAATTTTGAAGTTTTTCATTGGGGCAGAAGGCCCCAAAGATTAAAAATCATCCGACCAATTTTTTTTGAATATATTACTATTATGGAAATACAGATTTCATTTAAAAAAACATCACACTGTATAATTCAGGTTGGCAAGCTGGCTTGTAAAATTTGTATGATAGTACTTTACGTTATAAGTCCAGTAGATTAGGTTAGGTTAAATCAAAAGTGAAGTGGTCTATTCGACCCTCCACCGCAACCCGTAGAGATTTATTGTGGCTCACACCTATGCAGACTCGACCAAATAAACCCAGCTTCTTGACGACGCCGATTAGTTTATATGGTGAGTGATCTTTCAGGTCAGATTGTAAGAGTGCGGCTCTGTGAAACTCTGAAAACTTGATTCGGTCCACAGCGGGGCAGGCACAAGTATGTGCTGTGCTGTTTCATCCTGGAAAATTTTGCAAGAAGTCCGTAAATCTTCTTGCCATATTGGTGTTCAATGTTTGTTTGACATAGCCTAATGAGTTGGCTCACATGATGAGGTGAAGACACCTACTGTCACTGAGTTGCCAGCTGGCTTCTGGAATCCCTTTCTCCTCTTCATCTTCCTCGTCGTCTTCCCCTCTTCGTCTCCTGACAACCAACTGGTTTCCCAACCTTGGGATGGGTTTGAGCCGCTAGTTTACCCCTATGTTTGGGTGGAGGTTTGATTGCTCTCTCCTTCATAGGTGGATTGCCACTTGGCTCCGCTTTATTTACTCTGACGGAAACATTAGAGTGACTCGGTTGAGTAGTTGTCTGCTGGAAGGGTGCCCGGGTTTTAGGGCGAAATAAGACCTGCCCAAAACCAAAATGTGGTCTAAAACCCATCCTCGCTACCACGGCCATAGATCCATCATCAAAAGTGAAGATCCATGTTTGACCAGAGACTGACTCTTTCTTGCGGAGAATAGTCCACTCCAAGGTTGACAGACCATGGTTCATTTTCCTCAATATAGTGAGGACCTGGTCGGAAGTCAGTCTGTGACTGCCTCCGTCGGGTAGGTAAGCAACACAGATGTGTGGCTTCGGAAGTTGGTCCCCTGTGACGCATTTCAGAGAAGCGCCTTCCCACGACTTCAAAGTATTAACTACACCTGATCCTCACAGGCGACCTGTAACCATCCAGGCCGAAATGTGCAGCTCTGGAACCGTACCTGCGGCCCATCATCTGGTATAAACTCTACAGCCGACAAAATAGCCTCCTGAAGTGATTTCAGCTGATTGGACGTTAATGAGGTAGTCGGATATTCAAGGTGCAAGATTCCCACCTTGATACCCGCGACAACCTTCCCACATGGGGGTTTTTGCACGTCAACTACACCTGACGATGCCTTAGATTTAACCGTCCAGGGCTTTTTCGTCTCTGGTTTCAGTGAGAGTTGGGAAGCTCTCGCTACTGATCTGAATTTACAGGGAGGTCAGTTGAAGTCATAAGCTCGACACCCTCTCCTCTGGAGACTCAACGTCAGAAATATTTTCAATTATTTCTCTGTGCATAAAAGTCCCACGAGTAGTTAGGGAAAAAAAGGTCAATCACGGGAGAGCCCCGCATTACCATGACAAGGCTTGCTACGACGAGAGGGCCTCCAGTGTTTCGAAGGTTTCGTTAGAGACAGGTGATAGGCTTATTCATCCTCTTAGCACTGATACACCTACCTTAGGATTAAGCCATCGTTGGGATACCATTCAGTTAGTGAATAACAAAACCACAAGAGATTCTGACATTCCCATATCCAGTGGGGCTATTGCTTTATTCACTCATTCTATGTTGTAACTTATTTGTATCTGTATTCATCTTTTGTGAATAAAGTTATATTATTATACCCTTGTAATATTCAGCAGAAAGCCGGCCTCCATCATATCCCATCAGGAAAGTTTTTTATTGACTTGTGTATGTGGTTGGATTCTTTGAATCTCTCCGCACACAATTCAATAGTGTAAATTTCCGCTTGAAAAACAGTCGCATAGGTTCCTAGGTAGACAGATATTGTCCTGGGTTTGCGACTAAAAACACCTGCACCAGAACCGGAAGGTGTTTTTGATCCATCTGTGAACCGACAACTACCTGCTCCTGATATTTCGTTCCTCCAGGAGGATCCAGTCTTCTCTACTTCAGGAACAGTACTTTATAAGGCAGTTCGTAATTGACAGTTGGAGGCATAAAGTCAGAGGTATTTCCAGAATGCTGTGACTTCCAGCGTCAACCAACAGTGTGTTCTCTTGAGTCACAGCATGTATTTACCTGATTATCAAAAATCAAGAATCTACATATATTATTTCCCAAAAATGAATCTCTCATAAAAATATATTCCTTTCAATTTATAACTGGAGAACTGTTGTTCAAGTTAGCACTCGAAGCAGCTAGACTATCTTAAGCTTAAGGATTTATATTTTATTTATGAAAACTGTGAAAAATAAGATTCAATTGATATTTTACAGTAGAATTAGTGTTTATGTCAACAATGACGTAATATCTATTTTTGACGTATGTCGAGTGCTTTGTGATTGAACGCGTTTTTTATTAGTCACCGCTTATTTCGCACTGGAACTCATTGATTCTGTCAAATGTGCTGTCAAATTTATATATTAATGCAGGGCGCAATTTTAATGGAACATGGATATTTTCATTTCAAAATATCGTTTCAGAACCACCCTGACGTAGTAAATTGATATTATGTTTTATAATTGAAGAATATTTTACATAGAGACAAATCTTCTTCATTATATCATCTTGGTTAAGTGATTATTTCAACAACAATAGATCTACAAGCTTACACTGATCAGAAAAAAGTTTGAACAACAGCTCATTCAGGCAGGCTAGTGTGAAGATGAAAACCCCTAATTAGGCGAAAAAAGACACTATAGTGCACTGAACTAGAAAATCAATATAATATATCCGAAAAAAGAAAGCGCCCAATTAATCATCAAAAAATAGTTTTCAAAAATCAGGGCTGGTTCGATAGTTATCACCTGAAGACGACTTTGGAAACCAATAATTGAAACATATGAGTACACTGATGAAAATCAGTAACACTATCCATGATAATAATTAAACAATTTTAACAGTATACATTTCAATCATGAATTTAACATTGAACTTTTCAAAAATCTCTTTTGTTTAACAGTAGATGATCATGACTTAATTAGATAAATGATGTAGATCGTGGTCAAAAGTTTTTACAGGAAAGACTTCATGAAATTTCAAAACCAGAATCTCTGACCATTAAGAAAAAGTATTCCACTTGATGTGTTCCGAAAATAACCTCTAATTTATAGTCTTTCTTCAGGTAACCGCTAGCATAAAATTCCGGTACTTTCGGATCATACTCGAGTGTAGATATAAGAAGCATTGTCAAAACTGAGCGGCAGATTGATCAACAAAACGTAGTTTGAAAATTCGAATGTGACATATGTCATTTCGATTTTTTCAACATTTTTTTCATTTAATATCCATTCAATCCATCGGTTTTGTGGTTTTGTAGTCTATTTTGGCTTATTTTATGTTTCTGATAAGAATGAGAAGCTGATAAGGTGTTTTTGTTAGTTCATACCAATTCGTGGAAAAACTAGTTTGTCGGAAGCAGTTTAAATTTTTCATTTAATATTGTACAAATCCAAAGGTATATGAAGCTAAATAACCTTATTCTGGTCTCAACAAGTCTTTTTAAATTTTTTCCAAAATAATGTACAAATACTAAAGCAACTATGAAGAAGCAGTTTTTCCGTGTGAAACAGTTAGCCGATCAGACATTCTTGAAGTAAGTATTACTTTAGTTATTATTTTTTGCTGGTAATGTTGTACTATCCAACCTGAGCCTTTTGACAAGTTAGAAATTCAAAAGGGTGTTTTTGTGTTGGAGGTTCAGTATTTTGTAGTCTGTTATGTTGAACTCATAATTGTTTAAACTCAGAAATGATTAATAAAGCTGCTGGAGCCTATTACAGCTTCAAAACTATGATGAAGAAAAGGTATAGTAACAAAATAGAGTAATTTTGTAAAAAAAATTGATGGATACAGTACCCAATAGTAATTATAAAATAGTGATACTGGAATTTCTTTTAAAAACATATACAGAGGCTATCTGTAAAATTTTGACAAGGTTTTTAACGGTTTGTGTAGAAAAATATTTAAACAGATATTGTCCTTAGTAGCACATGAAAAATGCGAAAATTGTCAACAGATTTAAAACAAATTTTATTATTCATATCATATATATATGACTAACATTAGATCCTCCTATGAACATTGGCTTTCACGGCCGGAGACATGATTGAAAAGAACAAAATCAAGGCTGTTAAGACTGTGGTCGAATGGAACCTAAAGACTACTACTGCAGCAGACATCGATATATAACCTTCATCTCACAATCAACACATATATAACTGATGATATTTGC